TGCTGAAACCCCAGGAAAAATTTGTCCCTGGCCTCACATTTAATAACTATTTTGAAAAAGAAAAGAAATAAGAAAACCCATTGCAAACAGTAAAATGTCGCTTCTACCCTCAATACAGTGTTGAGGAAAAAATAGCAATCTGACTGACAGCAGATCAGTTACACAAACTCCGCTAGGAAGCAGCATGACTGGGAGGGCAAGGACCACATCAAAGATGCTGGTCTCAGAAGCTCAGTTCAAAGCCAGCAGGCCTATCGCTGGTAGAACAGACTCAGGAAGACACTGGAAGGGCACATTTATATTTTCTTTTAATTGTATGCCCTCCTCTTTTAGGATTATAACAGAAAATAAAGAGGAGACGTAACACAGCTGTCAGCGTTTGGATTTAAAGTCTTCCTGGTTTACATAAGGCCAGGTGCGTACTTGGATTGCTGATTACTGTAGGGCAAAAAAACATGAACACTAGAAGGAAATTTCTAGACATTAGACTGATCAGGGGCAGCTCCTGACGGAAAGGTTAATGCACCTGCACAGATCCAGAGGCAGAAAGGGGAGCCTTGCCTGGATGAACCACTCTGCTAGTGCACCGTCCTGCACTGCGCTATACAAGAGCAGATACTGACAGTTTTATTTGAGGGAATAGTATTTTGAGGAAGAGTTAATTTGTGTGGCTTAGCCAATAAAAACAGCTGGCAATAAAAATTGCTTGGAGCACAAACTTCACATGCAGGCATTTTTCCAGTCTAATATGCACGCACACAGAGAAAGTACAAGAAGTAAGACATTATGAGTAAATATTTTAAGTACATCGTGGCTTGCAGACATGCTAAACCAGAACAAATGCATGGCTAAACCTGAACTACCTATAATTATAGACGTCTCTTGCTGACATTTCCTTCTGTGAGTAGAAACCAATTGCAGTGTAGGAAATTCACTAATTTAAGCATCATGTTAACACACAGAATGCAGCACAGTTGCTCTTGAACATGAGGGCTAATTTGAGATTGAAAGTGATCGGATTTTACATGGATTTTATGTCAAGAGCCACGTTTTATCACTGACAAAATTAGACAAGATTAGATCCTCCAAGATCATGCTTGTCAAAGTACTATTTTTGCAAAGTTTAGACATATTTGAGACAATTTTGACCTTTAAGTTTTAACTCAGTGCAAACGGGAGCAAAATGTTCAACAAAGTATATTTTTTGGGGCAAAGACAGATGAAACTAATGGTATTATTGAGAATCAACATAAAGAGCTATACTTGTAGCCGTTTGTCAGGGTTGTTTCAGCAAACTGCCAAAAGCAGTCCTACTGCCCAGTTTTCTTGACACTTTATGAAATAGCAAAGGGATTGTTCAAAGGTGACGTGATATCGAGGGTACTGTTTTAGTTCAGGAGCAATGAGAGGCGGTTCAGGTCAAAATGACTGGTAGCCAGTTAGTAGCCGTACTTGAAGGAAAACATTACGTTTGCAGACAAAATCACCAAATATGATGAAGCATGCGTGAAAACAACACAAACTGAGAATGACAACACAGGCCATGGCCATTCAAGCACTTCCCCTTTTAATAAGTTCATCATAATTCCAACTTTGACATGGACTGTAAGAGAGGTTAAGGTTTAAGCGACATGTAGACTCACCTGCAGATACTCTGAGCACGTGCCATGGCTCTGCAGGCAGTGGCACTGCTGAGCCTTTGTGTGGCTTTAGGGACAACTGCTTGTGCACTTGATGCAGCATTTTATGTATGCCAGCAGATTAGTGAGCAGAGTTTGCAGTTTTCAGGTGAGACTGAAAATACTACTGAAGGAAACATTGGCATAGACATTTTGTATTCTTCTTGTGAAAAACCGGGCTGTAGCGAGTGAAGGTTTGCTTATTTTGACAAGAACACCAGTCACACAACTTAGTGATAACTATGACACAGACTATGTGTATACACCCACCTGTACGCAATGCAGTATACCTAGAAATATTGCCTACAGAGGAAATACCTATGATACACAAGGGACTTGGCATAAGGTGAGCAGACAGGTTTGGAGGTTTTCTATGGACATTCGGCCTCTAACAATCCACAGGCCGATAGCATCCACTGCTTTATAGTGGGGGACAGTCATCATGGTTTCTGAGTTTCGGAGTCGAACATCACAACTTCCAAGACAGCAGAGTGGACACCACTTACAACGCAAAATTATATTTACAATGTATAGCAAAATGTAATAACAATATTGGATCTCAAGTCTGTAAATATTTACACAGATTTTTAAATTTAAGCCTACGACTAGTCTCCATTTATTAAGTCTTATTATTAGTAGCAAAATATTAATGCTTTCATTGTAAAGTTTTCTCTCCAGCAATTCTCATTTCTCTAAATTATGCGACATACATGAACTTTCCAAAGAGATTCAAAGAAGTTGCTAAAGTATTTTGAAGATTTAATCCTGTTGGAGTTCTTCTGTTTCTGGTAAGAACAACCTATTTCTTTTTGTATCTCGCAGTCAGTTGTTCTAACTAGTGTAGCATGCATAATAATACTCACTGAAGAGCAATTTACAAATAGCTATTGGAAGTTATCTTGCTAATTGCTTGCAGTGAACCAGAGACTGCCACGAACTAATTAGCAGCCTCTTATTTCTGTAAAATTTTGTCACTAGTTACCTTAAAAATAAAAAGCAAAAACTGTTTTAATTAACTCACAAAGAGTTAAACTGTTGTCAGCTTCTCACTACATTTTAATTATCTCCACATTAGCTCCCCTTTAATGTACCAGCATACCTTTATTAAAATAAACAAATAAAAGGTATCAAAAATTGAATCTTGGCCCGAGCAGGTGAAAGTTGATAAGCTGATTTGATCTGATATGATGTTCAAGTAATTATTATTTCCAATAAGAACTGGCTTAAAATACAATGATTAACAAATCCTTTAGCAAATGGAAAGGGAAGTTAATTCCAGTATTGCAAATAGAAAGGGGAGTTAATGACAGTATTATCTGGATGGCATAATACTAGAAACTAAAGTCCAACAGTAACCGTCATAGGTAGTAAAGACATTAGTCATTAGTCTCCTGACAGAAAACACTCAGTAATCTATTCAGCAAACGAAAGAGAGCCATCTCGAGAGGAAAGTAAGAGCGAGAGTTTCTCTTTGTTTAATACAATCTCTAATATTTCATCACTGATCAAATACAGAGACAAAATTGCAAACGAAAATTATGCATTCCATTCATCTTTGTTTTCTTCTGCTTGTAGTACATGCTATGAAACTTGATGAAACTTTATGTTACCATAAAGGTATTTGGCATGAAAACTCACATATTGCCACCTAGCAAGATTTCCAAAAACATACAGTAGGTTAGGAGTGTAAATACCTTTGCAAATTCTGCCCTAAGAAAACATGATAATTCGTACCACAGATCAAGTTCTTACATATGCAAATGGCAGTGTTTACTGTCACAACTAATTACAGAGGTAACTCTGTGCTGGGCTGACTGTGAGTGCAGAATAAACATACAAATTTAAAACACTAGTGTTTAAAACTCCCCTCTTGTAATTGTGATGACATGATCCTCCTAAAACTGACAAGTATATACACAGGGGACTGTGTGTTCATGTGTAGGAGACCAGTAAGTGGGAGAAAGAAATCCAGATTTTTTAATCTGCGCATAATGTCACACATACTCTCTGTAAAAAACCATCAACAAAATCCTGACAAGCACAAATTCAGTCTGGCTCTAATCTGCATTGTCATTGACACCACGAGTTAATCAAAGTTCCAGTACACTGTTTTCTTAGGTTAAAAAGTTAGGAGGAAATGATGTAGCACTTTCAAAAAATGCTGTAAGACCGAGCTTATGCTAGATAGCACACATACAATCACAAATATAAATAGAAGGTCAATGATCCAGGAGAGAGGTTGGTCCTGAAAAGTAACACTTGAAGCAGATGGGGCTGAACTGTGTTATTGGCTCCCACTGCCAAAATATGCCTGTGAGAAATGTAAGGGACAGTTAGGGAAATAAATTACTGTCGGGTATCGTTAAAAGCAGTGTTTCATCATTTTTTTATATTTCACTTCTCTAAATTGATTTTTAATTTCATAACACAAATTTTAATCCTTTGTTCCTCTCAATTAAAACAGAATAACTCTGCTTGGTGTTAGGAGTGATTGCAAAGTACATCTGAAAAGGGTAAGGTACACTTTTTCTTCGAAAGCAACGAATTCAAAAAAAGAATGGAGGAATTAGTGTAACAAGAGGGCTATAAGGAGTAGAAGTCTAAGACATTGTAACTGCAAACCCTGAGCCATCAAAGGTCCCTGTTGCTACCTAACATCTGCCATTCTACTTTAGAAATGGCAGCTTACACAATTAGCAGGTTAAGTAGTTATTCAGTCTCTTTAACAGCTATGTCAGAAGCCACAAAGAGCAGGAGAAAACTGTGGCTTGTACGGTGTGATACACAAATCTTTTTTTACAGGGAAAACATATTGCTGTCCTACTTTAAAATAACAATTACAGGAAGAAATATATTGTAAAGTATGATAAGAGTACAAGAGCTCTTCAGCTTCACTGATACCAGAATGGCAATTCAGACACTGTGCATTATGCTTTCAACATTTAGCTGGAAAAAAAGAAAGCCATTACAGGAAACAATCTGTAGATTCCTTAACTAGAAAAATATACAGCATAAATAGTTTACATTTTCAGTGGGGAGCATCCTCTGGTGCATCAAGCTGTCATGCAGCTTAGCAGCATGACACATCTTAGTGATTAAATGCCAGCTCCCTGGCAAAACCCCAAAACAAAACAAATTAACTTTTCAGTGGAGAAAGCCACCGTTCTCATATCTTGTACAGCGGCTCTCACTGCTGAAAAGACACAGCAGCAGGATGGGAGGAATTAAACTCTAGCAGCAGGTGAACTGTAGTTTGAACATATTACTTCAGGGTCTATCTCTCTTTCTCCTTTCAGTCTGTCTTGGCTGTTTGGGAAAAAATACGCAATCCTTCGAAAACCTGGCTTTTTTTCCACAACATGCTAACAACTCACAAACACAAAACCCCAATATCTGTAAATGTCATACCAGGGTAAAATAGCACTGTCTCTTCCTCTGGATAATTATCTTAGACTCAGACTGGCGCCTAGGTATAACTAATGGACATAATGGCAACAAGAAACAGCAAAAATGGGTTGAGAGAATGAAAAAGGAGGAGAGAGCACATGAAAAAAAAGAATTCTCAAATGAAAGCCTATAACGTTAGAACATTTTATTCTGTCCGGCTGGAATCTCTTCTCTCCTCCCAGAAAATAAACTGGCCCAGTGTTGTGGGTATGAATACGAGACAGAGTCCATTAATCATGACAGGGATCATTCTGCTGCTGACAAAACATTGAGCTGTACACAACACAAGCTTTTTTTTCTTTTTAACAAGTATTCAGTGAAAAATGTTAATATTTTATTCATAAAAATAAATACAAAACTAAACCCTCAAATAACCTATTTTGGTGGGTGATAAGATAAAAGCTTACAGACAATATTGTTTGAGTTTGGGTGAGAAATTTTTAATATCACACACTTACCATACAAAATAATTTTCTCAAAATCCAGTTTCCTGTTGGTAAAAGTTCTGTCGGAAGAAGACCAAATTATGTCCTTTTGAATTAAGTGAGAAATATTCCCATAACAAAACGGAACTGAATTCAGGTGTTAAATTTCCTCATCTGTCACAGTGGGATAATAATGTCTACGTATGTCAAAAATATTTAATTAGATAATAGTGTGAGCTAGTAATTAGCTTAAGATGTGCTACATAAAATACTACAGCAATATCTCAGCCAGAAAGTTTTGCGTAGTGTTTGGATGAAAGCAATGCCTGTTGGAATATTTTATGTACTATTAGAAACTGGTTCAAATAATCTTGTATTTGGAAAGGTAAAACCAGTCTCTATGTAGTAATTTTTTAAAGTAGTTCTTACATCTGTGCACACATATGTGTCTATATTTATCTGTAGGCCTAGACCTATATCTATGTGAAGAAGAGATTAAACCCAGGTATAGCTCTACTAATCACTATCTGAAATGTTATAAATTCTCTGAAGTCCTCACTGAGTGATGCTGTTATTTTGTAAGGTTTCCAGTAGGTCCCTATTTATGCTTTCAGTGTTCCCTATGGCCAACAAGCTATTTACTCCTGGCTTTGGGAAAATAACATTTACCGTTACTGTGTAATACGTTGGACCTCAGAAAGCAATTATTATGGAAGTCCATATATTTTATTTTGAACCCCCTCTCCCCCCAAAAAAGCTCAGTTAACTAAGTTGCCCAGCTCTGTGAAATCAGGAAGGTGACAAACTGCCAGGGAGCAGCAAGGGCCACCTGCGCTGCGAGGGAAGGCGAGCAGGGCGCCGAGCACGGTAACTCCCTGCCGCCATGGAGCCGGGATGCAGAGCGGCAGGGCGAGGAGACCATCGGGGCCAAGGGCAGGTCTGGGGCCAGGCCAGGAAGCCCAGCCAGCGGGTCAGGGTCAGAGCTGCAGAGGTACGAGACCAGGTGCAGGCGTAGCTGCAACCCAGCTGCGACGTAGCACAGAGGTGGCTGGTGGTAAAGCCTCAGTTTAAAAGCAGCTCCCAAGGCAAGGAGGGGCAGGCCCTTGCTTCTAGCTTGTTTCACACCTCTTACCAGCGTTGGCACTGACGTTGGGTTCAGCCTGCTAAGCCGCTTAACTTAGCCAACTAAACTCCAGGGCCCTGACTCACCCTGACTCAGATTTTGCCCTTTGGCCAATGGAAAAACAATTGTAGCGTATAGTACAGGTCCGTTTTATCAGCTAGGCGCCTTGAACGTGACTCACCAGCCAGTTTGAAAAGCAGAGTTAGCTGTATTTCTTGAGCAGTTCACACTTTCTTATGCCTTACCTTGTTCAGTATTACCAGTCCCACCAGTATAGCGTGATCTGAAAAGCCAGCTTAGGCATACTCCAGATAGCACCAAACAGTATGGTGGTGGTGGGTGGGGGCGGTGACTTAGCAGTGTTTTCTTACCTTTGTTTTCTTTATGCTGTTTGCAGTTCCAGAGGGGTCACATTCAGGGGCTGACCATGAAAAACACTCTCCTTAGATCACAGAAAGCTTCCGGGAGTTGAGGAGAGGAACTGTAGTCACATAGCGGATTGATGCAATGCATACACTGACACTTGACAGGATAGCGATTATCCCGTAGTTTAATAATAACATGTTAATCATCTTAGAGTCATTATTTGCTCCCAGGCACACACTGTACTCCCATATTGACATAAAAAAAAAAAAAACTCAACCAAACAGAGTGCATTTCTATAGGGCAAAACACAACTGAAAATGAAAAGGATCTTGTCAGTGAAAAAGGTCTCATCATCTGTCCTAGAACACCAAGACAACAGAAAGGTGGTGCAGTTTTCTGCTACTTCATGCTAGTCATCCCAAATACTTCAGGATATAATTGCATAGACTTTTATTTCCTGTATTTAATAATAATGTGAATGGAAAGGTATAACTTGGTCTTGGCATCATACGAACAGACTGCGGTAGCGTCAGCAAAAACTTCTCTAACAGCAATATCTTACTGCATTCAAAGGTAACTATGGGCAATTGGACTCTGTGATTCATCTTTAAGTGACATTCCCAACTGTGATTTCCAACGGCATTGTCAGTGCCAGTTCCAGTAGCAGCTTTTAGTATTTTTTAGCTAGATCACTTGTGAGACAGATAATAGCCTGAAGTCACTAACTGCTTTCATATATATCATGAAACAGTCCAGAGCGTTTAATTTTACCTGTTCAAACTTCAGGTGAGAGATGAGTTCTTTGGGAGATTGTGATGGACAGGAAGCGTTTGATTCATGAGTTCTCAGTTTGTGAATGTTCCTTTAAAATGTATCTGAATTGGATGGACCCACCCAACTGGTGGGCAGACCGCTCCTTCCCGTGGAAGCCCAACAGACCGTTTGGCAGAGATGCTTCCACTGGCACAATATGGCAGAAGGAGAAGGGGAAAACCACAGTAAGCAGCTTTGCCCAAAGCCCAAGCAAAGACAGTGAGACACACAGTGCTGACATAGAGAAACTTCCAAAGGACCAGCACAGGAAGACATTGAGTTTGTCAAAAGGTAAATCTGGAAGGAAGGACCCACTCTGCAAATGCACAAACAGCAAAGGAAGACAGGTTATTTTTTTAATTTGTGGACACTTCAGAGATTGTTCTAGTTAAAGAAGTTAATTGCTTTAGTTCATATTCCTAGAAAACCTGACTTACAAGTTTAAGAGTCTTTTGGGGGGTACTCAAGTCTATGGAGATCTATACAGACTCCTCTTAGAGGTCTGGCTGGTCCAGGGCCAGCATTTGTTTGGAGTCCACCATACCCTAGCCAAGGCACTCCTAACAGCCGGCCCAGTCCCTGCTATTCCTTCATATGGCGCATACATAGTGAGCTCAAGTTAGTGGGAATTTGTGAGAAGGTCATGTCCTCATGCTACTACAAACAAGTTAGTCACTGAAATATATTTAACTGAGACTTTGTCCAATTTCTAAGTCTTCAAACAGTGAGGTTTAAATGGTTCCCTGGGAGAATTTTACACTGTCTAGTTCACTTCTGTGTGAAACTTTCTGTCTTAATGTTCACCACTAGCTCTTCTGCCTCACAACATCCTGAATAGTTCCTCTTCCTTTTTGCTGCTTATCCTGTTAGATTGCTGGCAAGTTTTTCAGCTCTCAACCGCTTAACCCTCCTTTGACCAAGCTATAAAAATTTATCCATTTCAATCGACCCTCTTTTGTCTATTCAAAACCCCCTCAACAGTTATTTCTGCTCTACACTGAATGACCTTCAATTTGTGTGTTGTAATGAGCTACCTGGAAATGAATGTATTCTTCTGCAGACACATCAGAGCTGTGCAGAGAACAATTACCTCCCTATTCATGTTGAATGAACACAGGCAGGCAAACAATTTCTCAGTCCTTCACATTACTGCTTTCAAATGTGATGTATATATCTTGAATTATTTTTCCTGAGATGGATTAACTGGCATTTTTCAAGGTTGAATCCAATGTTTGTTGCATTTCATCGAGTTTTTAAAATCTCCAAGAAACAGACTATTTCTGTTGCTTTCTATTCTTTTTTTTTCTGTAACTCATCCAGAGCACATCCAAAGAATAATTGGGGAGTTTCATAACATATGAGTTACATCTTTTTCTAGATTATTAGTTAATTTATTTTCCCAGGATCTACCACTGTTCTCTATTATAAAATTAGTCATATTATTCTAACTCAGCATTTGCCATTTATCAGACTGGATATAGACTTTACTCTTTACTCACCACTAGTTTTAGGAAATAAATGATTGTTTGGCTTAGGTTAAAAAGTATAACATTAATTGAATCAAATTGCAAGGATAGAGACAACTGCAGTTTTAATGTATGCATGCGCAGATATATTTATGAAAATGACTATCATTCACTGCACAGATTGTAGTTTTCTATTTCATACTCAAAATTATTTCAATCAGTTGCTAGTAAAATATTAGATACTGCAGCAACTGCTGCCTGTAGCAATAGCTCATGCAAGCTTCAAGCCTGGGATACTGTAATAATACATCACCAAACAATAGTATAAACTGCCCTAGATGGTGAACTGAAATCACTAAGAACTTTCTGCAAGTGTCTAGTAACAGAATTTGTCTCAGTAGTCACAGAATTATGTCTGTTTAATATCTATACGCAAAATAGGCTTGAAAACCTGTGTAAGAGTGTTATTCTTAGATTAGCTGTCGTTTACAAGAAATTTTTTCCTTCTGCATTCCAGCCAGAGCAGGTGAGGCGGCACTGAGCTTTTGCAGGCATAGCCACCTGCATCTTCCTGGTCTTAGACTAAGACCTTTTTTGGTGCAGACAAATAAGACTTCATAGAGCAAAAAAGCCACTGTTCAGAGCTTAGAGCACTTGCTATCAACATCTAGTTATTACTACTTAACTAGAGCTCAGATTTTTTTTTTTTTTTGCATCTCATGCATGTTTCCTCAAGCTCGTCCTCACAGAAAGTCATGGAATGGAACAAGTTCTTCCTTTTTGTGACCCTTGTATAATCCTATTGATTTACCCTGTGTTCAACCCAGTGAATTTCAATTTACCCTGTTATGATTTGTTTTGCTCGCAGTTAATAAACCTACGCTAACTATTTTAGTTCCAGCTATTACTTGTTTGTGCCAATCGATGAAAACAGAAAAAAAATGAACAGTGAGAGCCTGTGCTGTGCCCCTAAGAGATGGAGCACAGAAATCCCAGCACCTGACATAGCAAGCCCTGACGGCTTAAACAGAGCTGAAGGCAGCTCCGTTGATGCTGGTGGACTGCACAGCTGCCCCCGGTACCTGACCACTCTGGGTGATACCAATGGGTAAGTGCTGTAGCTCGGTCTTCTTGGGAACATCTGCCTTTTTTAGGGGTCAATACTACGAACATCTGCCTTTTTTAGGGGTCAATAGTAGATTCAGCTTAAGTTTGATGATCTCTCTGGGCTGTGACTCAGCTCAGAATCTACATATCAATATATAGCTGATATGCCTCTCAGCTTCAGTGTGCCCTTTAAGTAGAAATCTTGCAGGCAGCTTTCTGTGGCCATGAGCACCTTGTGGAGAACCCATCACCACTGCTCACCAGGAGCGGGACATTCAGACAGGGCACACAGCGCTCAGGTCTTGACAGCGATGTAGCTGGATTCATGCGGTGCCAAAACTGAGGTAACAAAAACAGCTTCACAGGTACACTGCACTAAGGAAGCTACACTGCTCCAAGGTGCATTGCGTGGTGTGGATGTGCCCTCCACAGTGCCCGGGCATGGGTAATTCTCTCCTCGGTGCACCCTCTTCTGTTATTGTACCTTGTTCAGTCAGGTGCAACAAGAGAACCCACAAATTTCATCTCATACACGGCAAAAGAGACCAAGAAAGATCAGGATATTATGACAACATAATCATAAGTCTCTGGGCCAGGTATACGTTTAAGTGACTTGTTGAACAGGAAGGTATTGCTCCTTAAGGGCCTCTGCATGCTTTTGTGACCATCCCCTGAACATCTTTAGCAATGTTCTGTGAGCTGATGAAAGAATGCTGAAAGCTCTTCTTAAAACTATGTTACTCTCCAAAAGTTTCTCGGTAATATTGATACATGAAGGTCAGAATTTCATGACAGCAAACACTACTGAAGTCACAACACTTAGGGCAGTAGTAAATTTAGCCCAAATGTATTTTTCAAAACATTTGCAGGAAACTGTACCAATGCTTGATGATATATATTTCAGTATTCCTTATTAAATGTTTCCTCTAAAATCCAGTCCCAGTGACATCTGCATCATCTATAACTTTAAGATTCTGCTAGCAGTTAGTTCAGCTCATGTCTGAATTTGA